TGCAGCGCACTGAGCCGTCACAGCGGCAAGGGCTCAGGAGCTCCCCCTGGAGGAAGAGAGGGGAGGGCCCCTGTCAACCACCATCACCCGGACCCCTTCGGGGCACTGCTGGAGAGGAGAGCTCTTCCTCAGATCAGTCATACTACTCCACTTAAAAACTAGGGCTTTTTAATCCAAAGAAGGGCAAGAAGCTAAGGCTGAGAACAAAAGAAGCCAAGGGCTCAGAAAAACTTCTCCAACCAAAGGGGTTAAAGGTGGGGTGGGAGGGAAGCCCTAGGACCTGAAGGAAGGGGAGAGGCCGAGCTATGCTCCCTGAATCCACTCCACAGTACTTCCAGACTATAGATCTGGGGCCAGCTGGGACGGATAACCAATCGTGGTTTCCATGCTAACATGGGGAGACGTTCTGGGGGCAGGAGTGAGCTATGCTCCCCTTTAGTCAAGCAGTCATTTCTCCCCGCACAGGGATGCCCTGACACTATCCCGGGATAACTCTGCCTATAAAATTAAACAAAGAAGGCTCTTTAGAATGAAGTGGAAAGTTGCAAAGTGGGAGCAAAAAGTGCCTCACCAGGCGAAAGACTGAGTGGGGCAGGGTCCTGGCTAGCCCCTCCCCTCAAGGTGCTAGCAGATGCACTCTCCTTTCTGCCCACTGCCGAAAGAACAGGTTCCCTCAGCTAATGGCGACCCTACGGTGAGGGAAGCAGGTGCTAAGAGCCGGTCTCTGGGATCATGGGTGATCGAGATTCTGAGCCCTCCTAGCAGAAAGCCCTACCCATCTGGAAGCCCCTGACTACACCCCTCAGCCCCAGTCTTGCCACACACTCCAGGAGTCTCCAGCCAGGCCAACCTCACCCCATTCCCACTCGGGGTCCTGGGTCCCGCCCAGATTCCCTAGGCCCCGCCCCTGCTCCGGGTCTCCGCGGACACCCCAGGTGCGCGCCCCCACCCCTCCCCGCCCAGCCAGGTGCTCGGGCCTGACCTGCTCCGGGCCTTGGAAGCAGATCCTGCACTGGGGGGTTCGGAGCCCGCTGTCCAGGCTGCTGCTGAGCGACAGGGCGTCCAGCGCGCCTGGGGGCGGCGGCGGCGGAGCGGGCGGCGGCGGGGGTCCGGCCCGCGGTTCCTTGTCGCCGGCCAGGCCCCGGGCCCGCGGCTCCGACCCGTAGTACTCCTCCTCGTCGCCGTCGCCGTCCCGGGCGGAGCAGCCAGCAAAGGGCGCCCAGCCGCAGCCGCCTCCCCCGCCCCCCCGGGGCTGCGGCTCGGCTCGGGGCCGCCCCCCGCCCGTCAGCACCAGCAGCTTCAGCTCGTTCAGGAACATGCGGAGCCGAGACTTGAGCATCGTCCGGGCGCCGGGGGTCGGGGGGCGGCGAGCGAGGGGGGCTCCCGGGCGGCGGGGGAAGGGGCGAGGACAAGGCCGGGAGCGGGGCGCGCGCGGGATCGCCGGGCCGGGCCGGGGTCTCCGCGGCCTGCAAGCGCCGTTCACCGCTGCCGCCGCCGGGGCTCCGGGGCTCGCGGGGCCGAGAGGGCCGTAAGCCCGGGGACGGCGACGGGGGCAGGCATGGCCCGGGCAGGGGCAGGGGCAGGGGCAGGGGGCGGGCGGGGGGCTCAGGGAGCCGCGCCCTGCGGGTCGGGGTCCGGCGCGGGCCGGGCGCCGGGGCTTAGGCGCCCCGGTCCTCCTGCGGCGGGGCCGCCCCCCATCGTCGTCCTCCCGGCCCCAGTCCCGCTCCGACTCCCGGATCCGGCTCGGCTCGGCCCGTGCGCTCGGCGGTGGCAAATGGCGGCTCCTTCCGGCGGCGGCGGCGGCGGAGACCCCCCCGGAGCGGCGGGCGGGCGGGGCGGGAGCCGGGGAGCCGGTGAGGGATGGAGGGAGGGGTGGGGCGGGGAAGGGGAGCGGAGGAGAAGGGGCCGCGGCTGCGCATCCCCGCCCTGCCCAGCACGAGCAGGTGTCCCCAGGGGCGGGGCGAGTGTGCGAGACGCGGGAGGAGGGCGGGAGCGAGGGGAGGGGCCAAGGAGGGGAGCGCGTGCCGGGGTGGCCGGGGTGGCAGAGGTGTGTGCTGGGGTGGGGTGCGGACGGAAGGTGAGTGGCCAGGGGCTGCAGGTGTACCGAGGCGGAGGTGTACGCGAGGTGGGAGTGTGCCAGAAAGAGCGCCGCCAAGGGCTTAGAGGTGTGCGGGAGGCGGATGGGCCATGGTGGGCCCCGGTAACACAAAAGATCGTAGCGGGTGCTGGGTGCCGGACTGGGCTACGGCGGTGTGCAGGAATGGAATCGAATTGTGTGAGAAACAAGCGAGTGATTCTAACGTGTGAAGGTGGTGAGTGAGCAGTAAGGGAACCAAAGGGATGGGCGTGTCTTTCTTGATTCCCTCCTGCCTTCAGCTCGCCTACTCTGAAGTAAATAACACACGTACGCGCTTAAATCTTTGTTCTACATTGACCCTAGTGCTATCACCCAGCCTCCCGTTGTTTTGTTTTTCTTTATATTTACACCCTTTCAGCCCCTTTGTGAAGCGGAGGGAAAAGGGATTCCTGGGGAGCCCACTGGGTCAAAGACACTGAGAAAAAATTAATTAGTAAAAGAGTAATTAACAGAGAAGGGAGGGAATGAGCAAGTCGAAGTAGGGACAGACTACCAAATTAAGACTCTTCAAAGAGTCAGCGACGACGGCAGTCCTTCTGCAAAGCATCTAAGGGCTTTGGATGGACAAGTGAAAGAAGCGGGGGTGGGGGGGGGCGGGAAGGTGTGCGAATGAAGCAGACAAAGACCACTGCTTCAGCAAGGAGCAAGGAGCAAGCAGCGGGCGCTTCTAGGGAGGTAAGGTGAAGCAGGAAGCGCCTGTGTTCGGAGTTTAATATGCTCACAGCCAGCCTCTCAGAAAGCTAAGAAACCCAAACAGCCCTAGGAACGCAGCCAGTGAAACGCCCACCTCTCCAGCCCCTTAGCCAATTTAGGCCTGGATCGTTTTCTTTCTACTCTTGTCAGCAGGAAACGTTAGAGCAGCAGAAAGAGATCTGTCCCATGCACCTTTTATTTTGTAGTTGACGATGTTTTGATGTTTTGTGTTAATCTTCAAGTCTATACATTAACATTCATATGTATATGTGTATGCACATATATTTGTATATATATATCACCCCACCCCCATCTCAGACAAGGTTTCATTGTATAGGCTTGGCTAGCCTGGAACTCTCTAAGTAGACCAGGCTGGCCTTGAACTCACAGAGATCCAACCTGTCCTTGCCTCTGCCTCCTGGGATTAAAGACAGGTGCCACCATGCCCCACCACGATCACATTCTTAACCAGAAAAATAAGAATAGAACTGACAATGGACTACAGCTCAAACCAGGGGACAAAATGGTTTTGGTCTGAGTGTGGTGACTCAGGTCTGGAATCCAAGAACTTGGACTTTGGAGAGTTTGAGGCCAGCCTGAGCTAAATGGCAAGACCCTGTCTCAAAAGAGAAAAGAAAATAGAAGGAGAGAAAGAAAGAAAAGGAGAAAAAGGAGTGTGGTGTGTGCTTCAAACCCTAGTTCTTGGGAACTGGGGAGTGCGGGAGCAAGCATTTGAGGCTAGCCGACCTAGGTGTCCATTTCAAGGCCAACCTGGAAATGAGACCTTGTTTAAGAAAACAAAAGAAAACAAAAATCCACAAAAAAAAAAAAAAAAGACATCTGGAGTGTTTGCTCGTGTCTGTAAAAGCAGCATTTAGAGGCTAAGGCACAGGATTGCTACTAACCTGAAGCTAGCCTTAGCTGTACTCCTCAAATACGATCTCAGAGCTTCATGCTTGGGAGTGTAGCAGAGACGGAGCCTGTGCTTACTACATAGAAAAGCACTGACTCGAATCCTCAACACCAAAAAATAATTTTTATAAAGCTCCAGATTTTAGGCAGTTTCTCACAAATGGAAAAATGGTCCTTTTTCCCCATGTCCCTAAGTGGTGGGAAACAAGTTGAAGCCAACAAGACAACAAACGTTAAACAAATCTACCTCTGTCTGTGCGCAGATTTCTGTGCGCAGAGACCATTTGGGAAACGCTGTTCAGGGAGAGTTAAATTCCAAGAAAGCTGGACTGGAAATGAAAAAGGATGTGATGGTGTCTGGAGAGATGGCTCAGCAGTTAAGAGCACTGGCTGTTCTGGACCTGAGTTCAATTCCCAGCACCCACATGGCAGCTCACAACTGTCTGTAATTCCAATTGCAGGAGATCTGATACATTCACACAGACAAGAAGACAGACCAATGTAATAAAACAAAAGGAGTGTGACCCCGATGCAGAGGGGACACGAGTCTTGCTCCGGCAGTGTGGCGATCTGAAGTGGTGTTGGTGATTGCCTTTGTACCCCTCACCCTTTTGTCACTTCATATATGTACAGTCACATATGTGTAGCAGAATAATCTTCGTGCACACTTAATAATATAGTAACTTGCCTATTTAGATATCATTATCACCAAAGGGCGAGTGCTAGCGACACCAAAACAAAAACATCCCATACGAACCGGAAGGAAGAAGCACTTAGTGAAATCTTGTTGAATGACTGAGTAAAACAAAGACACCAACACCCCATGGCGGTGGAGTGAAAATGTGACAGCAACCATCACTGGTACCAGGACCTCCCACTAGCACCCCGACCTCCCGCCCACGTAGAGACGTGTAGTGAGACTGAAGATGCGCTCAGGCTCGGCCTTGAGCGGAGAGTTGAGCGCTGGTTGGCCCGGTTGCCATGGCACCGCCTTGTACTCCACCCTCTGTCGCCCCCACACCTCCTCGACAGTCAGGGTCTGGCAGCCAGTCACGTGCCACACAACGTAACTACACCTCTGCGTCTCAGAGAAAAGTAGAGGGGTCACGTGGGATAGCAACAGGTCACGTGGTCGCCCAGCTCCCACGCCCCCTTCCCCTGCCACACCGCTCCCAATCAAAGCGGGCCCCCGCAGCCCACTGCGCATGGGCGGAGGTCACGTGCCCAGAACGTCCGCCATTCGCCCCGCCCTCCCGGTTTCCGCGCGCCTGTCTGGCAGCTGGTCACATGGTGAGGGTGGGGGTGCGGGGGCCTCTCTAGCTCGCGGCCTGAGTCTATGGTCTGGCCCGTAGCGTCCAGCTGCCCGGGACCGACCCCCGGTGTATGGCGCCGCAGGAACCGGCTCCCGGGCCCAGATAAAGGGCCACCTCCACAGCTCTTGGCCGGGCGTAAGGTGAGTGCAGCCCCTTGCAGGAATGGGGGGCCAGTCGTTGGGTGATTATGGAAGGGTGGCCCAGTGGCGGGAAGTGGGGCCTTTGTGGTCGCGGGCGAGCGTGTGATCTCAGAGAGCGGCGTGTAGAGTCTTCGATGCCAATCCTGTGCATCGTGTGATCTTCTTTGTGCCCAGTGCGATGGGCTCCGAAAGACAAGGACGCATTCTTTTTTCCTCCGGGACATCACGTGGCTGGAGGGCTTGCTGGTAGCCTTTTGTTACCTGAGGCTCGGGCCCTGAAGTGCGGAGGGGTGGAAAGCTGGTGAGAGCGCTTGTGCGGTCTTGTGCAGTCTTGTGCAGGAGTTCCTTTGTTGCTGCTGGGTCATCCCCTCCCAACTGTGAAAGAGTTGGCTCTTAGAAGTCTCTGGGATTGTAGGACATCGCCTGCTCCGAGAATGGCTACCTCTCGATATGAACCAGTGGCTGAAATTGGTGTCGGTGCCTATGGGACGGTGTACAAGGCCCGAGATCCCCACAGTGGCCACTTTGTGGCCCTCAAGAGTGTTAGAGTTCCTAACGGAGGAGGAGCCGGAGGGGGCCTTCCCGTCAGCACAGTTCGTGAGGTGGCCTTACTGAGAAGGCTGGAGGCCTTTGAGCATCCCAATGTCGTCCGGTGAGAAGGTTGGATTGGGAGTGGGGTGGAGGGTACAGTAGGACCTGCAAGGTGAGGAGCGGGACCGTAGAAAGACCGGAGGCCACGTTGGAACAAAGGAGATGACCAGCTGGTGACGGTCTGTTTCGCAGGCTGATGGATGTTTGTGCTACTTCCCGAACTGACCGAGACATCAAGGTCACCCTAGTGTTTGAGCATATAGACCAGGACCTGAGGACATACCTGGACAAAGCGCCCCCGCCAGGCTTGCCAGTGGACACCATCAAGGTGTGTGGGCTGGGTGGAGGAACTAGTTGGGATGTTTAGCATGATACATAGTTTCTAATGTTCTGAGCTTTCTCCTTCAAAACCAGGATCTGATGCGGCAGTTTCTAAGCGGCCTGGATTTTCTTCACGCAAATTGCATTGTTCACCGAGACCTGAAGCCAGAGAACATTCTGGTGACAAGTAACGGGACAGTCAAGCTGGCTGACTTTGGCCTGGCCAGAATCTACAGCTACCAGATGGCTCTCACACCTGTGGTCAGTAGAAAGATGGCAGCCAAAACAGGCTGTGGCTGGGGAAGAGGACTCGGTTTCCCATAGCACCCGAGGAGTCTTGTGCTTGGAGTTTTCCTAGTTGACTCAGGAGGACCCTCCTTTGCTTCTCCTGCTCTCCTTTAGGTTGTCACTCTCTGGTACCGGGCTCCTGAAGTTCTTCTGCAGTCTACCTATGCAACGCCTGTGGACATGTGGAGCGTTGGCTGCATCTTTGCGGAGATGTTTCGTCGAAAGTATGCGACTAGAAACTTTTGTTTTCAACACAGGGTTTCTCTGTGTAGCCCTGGCTGTCCCGGACTCACTCTGTAGACCAGGCTGACCCAGAACGCCAAGGTCCTCCTGCCTTTGCCTCCCAAGTGCTGGGATTAAAGGTGTGCGCCACCACTGCCTGGCTGGGAGCTGAGGCTCCTAAGTGGTTTTCAGTTGCACAGCTGTTTTGCTGCTATCTTATGATGCTAGAAGTGGAACTCAGAACACGCAAGCACTGGGCAAATGCTCTGTGCCACTAAACTACCCGCCACGTCCCGTTCCCCCATCCCTGTCTTTAACAGACCTGTCTGTTCTTGACCGTTTTTTTGCGTATTTGGTGTGAGACACCCAATGTAGGGTCTTGATAGGCGTATCCCTGCCATCTAGCTGTAGTCCCAACCTTTCCTGCTTATACTGACCACTTTGCCTAGAGCCAGAAAAATTTCAGTCACTTAATAATTACTCCCCTATTTTTAAAAATAACATATACTTTGAATATTTTTTCTTTCCTTAGGCCTCTCTTCTGTGGAAACTCTGAAGCTGACCAGTTGGGTAAAATCTTTGAGTAAGTATCCAGTGAGGATGTTTCTGCTGAACTTTAGATAGCAGCTGGTTCTAGCCCTGGAAATGAGAACTGGAAAAGGACTCTCCTAACCACAGCTGTCCTGTCCCTACAGTCTCATTGGATTGCCTCCGGAGGATGACTGGCCTCGAGAAGTGTCTCTACCCCGAGGAGCCTTTTCCCCCAGAGGGCCTCGGCCAGTGCAGTCAGTGGTACCAGAGATGGAGGAGGCTGGAGCACAGCTGCTGCTGGTACTGGGGCCGGGGCAGAGCTGGGGAGAGGGCTCTGTGGGTAATAGTGGGTACGGCTCTTTTACATAAGTGTGAGAGCTTGAGTTCAAAACCCATGTAAAAGTTACAGAGTCCATGTGTGGCAGTGAGCTTCTACAGTGCCATTCTTACTGCAAGATGGGAGGTTTACTCTAGCAAACACCGTTCTGACAAGAGCTATATACACCTCTCAAACAAGGTGGGAGGCAAGGACTGACAGCCCAGACTGCGCTGACCTGTGTGCACTGACATGTGCCTCCACATTTTCACACATGAGCATGCGCACACAGATTTGTTAAGGGCCCAGACCACCATGGCACCAAGATCTGGTTAGTGGACAGGCTCTGGATTTTACTGCTGTTGCAAGTGGCCAGCCAGGGGAGGAGAAAGGCTATCAGTTATACTGCGGTGGGCGCCAGCCTCTTCAGCTGTTTTCTGACCTTTTCCTCTCCCCATAGGAAATGCTGACTTTTAACCCACATAAGCGAATCTCTGCCTTCCGAGCCCTGCAGCACTCTTACCTACACAAGGAAGAAAGTGACCAAGAGTGAGAAGAGCAGCTGCCTTTCTCTGCTTCTGGACACTTGAATGGAGAGGACCTCACTGAAAAGGCAACCTCTGCCTTCCTCTGAGGCTGTGGAGTCTCCCCCAGTTTTTTACAGAGGATATTTTAAGCCTTAAATGACATTCCCCACACCTCCTTATGAGGCTTACCCTCTTACCCCTCAACTTCTCTACACTAAAGGGTGGGTGTATCTTGTCTTCTCCCCTGGTTTATACTGGGACCTTTTTATACAGGAAAACAAAACAAGACAAAAGGATGTGCTTTTTTTTTTCTTTAATTTTTTTTTTTCTGATTGGCTTTGAGAAACCACAATGAAGAAAGTTCCCTGCAAGGCCCTAGGCAGGCAGTCCAGCTTTTTGGCCGACAAGCTTAGAAACGGTCTTTCAAATCCTTTCTTTGAAGATTTGGTTAAAATGGCTTTAGTTTTAGGTTTGCTGCTTCACTCTGGTCCTGACTGGGACAGCTCATCTACACAAACACTTGCCTAGCCTGTGTGGGGCCCTAGGTTACAGCTCTGGCCCCCACCCCAGGCTGGCTGGTTTCCCTTTGATACTGTTCTGATTTGTCCTTGGACCCAAAGGTGTTGAGGGGAGGGAAAGCAGCCGTGAAAGGCTTCTAGGAGCGTGCTAGATCCTCTGAGAGAGGCATCACTTCATCTGTTTTAAGGAGTGAGGCAAGGGGGCCTTCTTTAAAACAGAAAAACATGGGGATTGGGGTAACCACTCTAGGTTTTTGAGGATTTAGGGGGAGACACAGGAAGAGCAGAGCCATCAGAAGGATCCAGAGACTTGCTGAGTGTGGTGACACACACCTGTGATCCTAGCACTGGAGGCTGAGGCTGAAGAATCCAGAAGTCAAAGTTATCCTTGGCTGTGTAGCGAGCTGGAAACCAGCCTGGGATGCAGAGACCCTACCTGGGGGGTCAAAGGTCTCATAGAAAGGCACTGGGGTTGGCTCGAGGGTCTTTTTGATTCCGGAATCTCATTGCTAGCCAAACACCAAGGATCTATAGGAAAGGGAGAGAAGACGAGTTATGTTTGAGAATCTTGGGGTTTAAGGCTCATGGGTGTGCATGACAGGTTGGGAATCCATACCTCTGTGAAGCTAAAGAAGAGCCCAACACCACCTAGGATTTTCAGGGCTTTGTCTGAATGTTTGAGGAACTTCTCTCCACACATCTGGCATGCAGAGCTCCTGGTCTTGCACATCTGGGGACAGAATATATATATCCAGAATGCAAAGCTGCTGACCTGCCACATCCAAACAGCTGTAGTGGATGTCCCAGAAGTCATGTTTGAACAGTTCTAGCCTGAAGCCCCACGTGGCTAAATGCCTGCAGACTAAGGCTGCCTATCTGGGCGTGGCCCTCACCACACACCCTCCGGGCTGTGCTCCCCTTCCTTGAACTTACTGCACTGCAGGAAGTCTCATCTTGTAGGTGCAGGGTGGTGCGGTTGAACAAGCCACAACAGTCAAAATTTCTCTCAAATTCATGCCGGGTACTGTTGCTCATGACCCACCAGGAAGCACTGATGACATCTGCCTGGGGCAGGTTGGCAGAGGAACGTTAGTCTCCCCACTCAGTTCACAACCATCCCACAGAAACAGGACAGCAGGTCACAGTCATAATGTCAAGTCTCTTAGGTTGTCTCTGACTACATCATAGGGAATTAACCAGGTGGGTCAGGAAGCACATACCTCTGGAAGTGAAAGGGTCAGGCTGAAAGGTTTAAAGGGGAAAGCAAGTACGTCTGTGAAAGGGCATCCCCTTACCTGTTTGTTTCTGTTAATAGCCAGACATGAGCAAGAGATTCCAAACTGGACAATGAAGACCAAACCAAGGATGATCATGTACTGAGAAGAAGTTAGGGCAAAAAAAAGATCTGGTTTCCATTTAAAATAGCTCACCCAGGGAGACAGGCAGATATCTGTGAAGGCCAGCCTAGTGTGCGTTCCTGGCCTAGCCAGGACTACATAGCATGATCCTGTTTTTTGTTTTTAAAATCTCACCCAGGATAATTGTAACTGCAATGTGGCAGGCAAGGGGGCAGAGTTCAAGGCCCTTCTCTGTTCACAAAACAGCAGTTTTATCCAGTTGAGAACAAAAACATCGGCTTCAGTGGATTACAGAATAAGAACAAAGAGACATGTCTGAGGTCCCTGCCCAGGGGCCCCAGTCACTTAGTTCAGGATACAAAGAAGAGCAGCACTTGGTGGTGGTTTGCCGCGCCCACTAGGCCTGCCACTGCAATGAGGAGAAGGAAGACACCCACAGCAATGACTCCTCCAATAATGTGAATGCTGGACACCAGACCCAGGCCCTTGCCCCAGGCAGCCACGCCAATGAGCAATAAGCCCACAAGCTGCAAGAAACAGAAAAGAAACACGTTAAATAATTCAGCCTGGTACAGTGGCTCACACCTGTAATCCCCGCAACCGCAGCACAGCAAAGTTCCAGGCTAGCCTGTGCTAGCTAGTAGTGAGACCCTGTCATAGCCAAGAATTTTTACCTTGCGGCACAGCCAAAGGCTATTACAACGGGACGAGGACTAAACAGGTTAGCCGTTTGAGGTGTGCTGTCAGTACTACTCGTGCCTAGGCGCTCTTCGCAAGTAACTGGGAATACCCGGGATGGAGACGGGTAAACGCAGTAACCTCTCAAGATACAAACGGAACCCTCAGCATCCCTATTTTGGGAAGAAGCTGGAGCCTAAGGGAAGACTGGGGCTACAGGCCCTCAGGCTTCGATCTACCCCGCCCCACCACCAAAAGAGCCCCCTCATCACCGGAAGTCTTTCCTCTTCCACGGAAGTCACCAAGAATTCCCTCCTCGCCGGAAGTTTTTGAGACGCTTTCCAGAACCCCCAGTACACCCCTCTCCCCACCGGAAGTCCCCCAGAAACTCTCCCCTTCTTTACGCCCCGGAGCTTTCCTCATCTCCAAAATCTCACCATATAAACCACGTTGAGAGCGCACAGCGCATTCTTGTAACAGGCAAATCCGCCGCAAACCATCTCCTCAGTTCTGGGGACCCAAATGGTCCCAAGGACTTGAGGGGAAGGTTTTGGGGACCGTCTTGTAGAACTCCCACAGCTTCTACCACTTTAAATCCAAGCCAGCCAAACCAATACTCTGCGTCTGCACGGTCCCACCCCTGCCTCTGGATTGGCGAAACTCGTGTCTAATCCAGGACGTCCAGGGCTTCAATGCCAATCAATCTGCATTACGTCACCAGCCCGCCTCCCGGTCCTTCCCTCAGTTTTTCATTGGACGAACCATAAAAAAAAAAAAAAAAAAAAGACTGAGGGTTTCTACAGTTTCTTAGGGACCAGAACCTAAACTTCAAAAGCGTAGATTCCCGAGTACTGAGTTGCGAGACTGAACCCGAAGAGAAATTTAGAGGACACAAGTGAAGAGAAAACAGGGACTTGTAGAGGGAGGAAGTGGCTCCACCCCTCCAAGGATAACCTTTCTCCTCCCTTTCCCCGTGTTTCAGGATGATCTCATGATGATGCCATCGTTTTGTTATAGTGCGTCATGCTCTGGAACACCAAGAGGAATCCAATGAACTATGTTGCCCAGCTAGGGAGGATCCAAGTCAGGCATGGCAACAGCCGGCAAATCCTCAGGCACTTGTTAAATGTGTCTACTAGTATGTATGTTCTGTTCTACATTCCTTCCTCTGCAGTGTGGACATGCCAGAAATTCAAGTGCAAACAGCGACTTGAGGCTGGGGCATTCCTATTTGTGAAAAAGCACAGGCGTAGATACTGGTGTGCTCTTCGTCTTTAGAACACATGTATGCGTGATCCAGGGCTGTCACAAGATGACACCAAGTAAGGAATTTTAAATTCATTTCAAAAATGGATTATTTTTATATGCATTTGGTGTCTTGTTTTGTTTTTGCACATATGTCTGTGTGAGGGTGTCAGATCCCTGAAACTGGAATTACAGACAGGTGTGAGATGGATCAGAACTGAACCCAGGTCCTCTGGAAGGGCAGCCAATGCTCTTAACCACTGAGCCACCTCTCAAACCCCACGTTCCACACTCTTGCTTCGGAAGGGGGAGCGGTGAGTGGCTGGTTGGACATAGTGCCCTATGGGGGTGAGAAAGGCCACAGCCCTTCTCTTCCTGGACAAAGAAGCAGCGTGGGTGGGAGTGGACCCAGAAAAATGCCCCCACAACTCCACACAGTGATCTGAGTCTATAGGTGCTCACATCCTGTGACTGCCTACAGTCTAGTCTCACTGCTGGGGTCAAACCATAAGTATGGGCCAGGCACTTAAACCCTCTGTACCTCCTTCTTCACCTGTAGAAGAGGGGTGGGTGACAATGAACCTACTCTTACAACCTCTGGGTTGTCCTGAGGACTAAATGAGTTAGAACATCTAAAATGCTTCAATCAGTATGCAGTACCTAGCATCACTGTTATTACTGTTTAGTCCATTTTTATGGAGTCCAGTAAATAATCCAAATGCAACCCCTTTATCTCCAAATATAAAAATGTTCACATACTCATCCATCATAAATCTGTCTCAAAATAAAATACAATAATAAAATAAAATAAATAATAAAATAAAATCTTCTAGATAGTTTTTTTTTCCCAAAGAAGCTATACATAAGAAAACAACTTGACTGGGCGTGGTAGTGTACGCCTTTAGTCCCAGCACTTGGGAGGCAGAGGCAGATGGATCTCTGAGTTTGAGGCCAGTCTGGTCTACAAAGTGAGTTCCAGGACAGCTAGGGCTACTCAGAGAAACCCTGTCTGGAAGGAAGGAAGGAAGGATCATTTATCTCTCCAGACAGGTTCAATCCTTGAAACAAAATAACTAGGAGATGGCTCAGTGGCCAAAGTGCCTGCTGTGCACATGTGAGGACTAGAGTTTGGATCCCAGAGTGTACATGAAAGCCAGGCAGGTGTGCCTGCTGCCTGAAATTCTGTGGCACCCTGGAGGTGGAAACAGGAGGTCCTCAGGGCCAGCTGGCTAGCTAGCTTCTCCTGTCAGCAAGCTCTGGGCTTGCTGAGAGACCCTGCCTCAATAAGCAAATTGGAGAGCAATCAAAAAAGAGGATCCATGCCAGCCATGGACTAACCCACACAGAGGCACACACGCACACGCAAACCACACACATCCTGTGGACGAACTGTAGTTTTAACTATCCTGTCAGTTTAGAACCACTGGGGAAGAGGGTCTCAATGAAGGATTTCGTCTATATTGGGCAGGCTTGTCTTAATTAATTGATGTGGGGAAAATCAGTCCACTGTGAGTGGCCTCATTCCCTAGGCAGGAAGTCAAGAACTGTGTACGAGTGGAGACAGAGAGCTGAACACAATCGAACAGGTGAGCCTGTATACATTCAGTTCTCTCTGCTCTTGGTTATGGGCGCCCTGTGACCGACTGGCTGTTTGAAGTTCCGGACTTGACTTCTCCACAGTGATGGACTATCAGCTGAAATAAACCCTTCTTGAGTAAGTTGCTTTTTGCAGTGTTGTATCATAGCAAGAGACACAAAACCAGAACCTGTGGACACCATACACACACACACACACACACACACACACACACACACACACACGCCAAATAATAATGATAATTGAGTCAAACAACCCATTCCCTATGACCCCCAACTTGCTTTTATCTCATTTTCTCCTTCAGCTCCTCATTTGTCTTCTATTTCAAGTCATGAATCAAGGGCAGAACGATGGTCCCTGAGGAACCAGCTAGCAAGTACCTTGGTTGTATGTATTAAATTAAAAGTATAATTAGATCTCTGTCCACCTGTTATTGGCCTTTCAGCATAATAGTGGTAAATTACCCTACCCTTTGGGCTTACCATGAATATAAATGAAAGTATGTTGTAAATGTTCAGATGTTATACACATGCTAACTAGTGTAGGTTGCCCCCCATTCTTCCCCGTAACTACTGGGGTCTTTTGAATAGGGATGGTTATCATGGGCAGCTAACTATGGAAAGCCTGTAGGAATGTGTAGAGAGTGATGAAGAACTGGAAAGGGAACTCTTTTTTTTTTGTTTATTGTTTTTGTTTTTTGAGACAGTGTTTCTCTGTGTAGCCTTGGCTGCCCTGGACTTGCTTTGTGGAACAGGCAGGCCTCGAACTCACAGAGATCAGCCTGCCTCTGCCTCCCTAAGTGCTGGGATTACATTTGTGGGCCACCATCCCTGGCTTGAACTCTTGATATTTACAACTCTTGATATTTAGCTTTACTGACTGAACTATCTCCCCAGACCAAAGTGCTAAATAACTAAGTGTGCACCGGCACAGACAGGCCTCTGTGATGACAGATTCTGAGACAAATGTGCAAATCACCAAGAATATGGGACCCTACCTGCAATCCCACCAGCCTTCTCCCAGAACCAACACCCATCTTTTTTTTTCTTTTTTCCTTTTCTTTTCTTTTCTTACGCTGGTCTCGAACTTGTGATCCTCCTGCCTCCACCTCCTCAGCAAATCCTACTGGTATAGGCCACCACAACTGGCCATGCCCATCTTGATTAGCTACCTCCCATAGAGACTGTGGGAGGTCTTATTAAGGCTCCATTCACCTGCCTGAGCCATCACAGCTGGGGCTGGCTGTCAGAGCTGAAGGGCCAACGCTAGGGGGTGCAGGAGGTGTAAGAGGTAGCACTCTGTGGGTTGTGGGTTTGAAGCTCACCAGGAAGTGAGGCCGCCAGGAAGGGCGGGCAGGGTCAAGGAGTTCTGGGGAACAGCAGAAGGGGCCTTCTGAAGTCTAGGGGCTGTGGGGTCATGGGCTTCAGGGTCAGAGGTGGTTGTTAGTCTGGCAAGGCAGGTCTGTCTGCGCAACATGCATGCCCAAAGGCAGTTAGCTATAGCCACAGTAAGAGCAGAAGTCAGACGACATGAGGTGGCCAAGCAGGCTCTGAGCCGACTCAGGAAGCTGGCAGAGAGAGTGGGTGACCCTGAACTCCGAGATGGCATCCAGGCCTCACTGGACAGTGTAAGAGGTAAGAGATGCATCGAACCCTAACTTGGCTGCTTTGGGACCAGCACTGGATACAGAAATGCTTAGCGGTGTCTAAACATAGGTTTTTAACTGTTCAAGCAACCACTTCCTAGTTGTTAAGACGGAGCTGGGGCTCAGGAAAGAAGACATTTGGAGAGGATGGGAAAAGGCATGGGGGGGTGTATTATTATTCTTTTTTCCAAAAATGCCCTCTGAACAAAATGCAGGTCACTGTGGAGCTGACCTTGGCAGCAGAGAGTGGATAGCATTGGAGAGACAGATTGTAACAGACACATTAGACCCATTAGTGGTCTCTGTCTGAGGAGTCCAGAACAGGAAGCAGTCAGGGCAGGAGGTTCTGGGACTTGATATTTGCTCATTCCCAGGACCCGGTCAAGATCAGTGACCTCTTGTTCTCCAGCAGTAGAGAAATACACAGAGAAGTATGTGTGCGTGTGTGTGTGTGTCCAGACACACTAACCCGTAAAGCCCCACGCTTTGTACAGCTCCCTGTAACGAGGCCCCCAGGACTTGGCTCAGTCGCCTCTCCTGCGCGCCCGTTTTTGCCTTCCCCTCTACCTCCTTCCGTTCTACCTTCTTAGTGTCATTAGAGTAAGTGTTGACAGCACAGGGAGGAAGTGCTGTCATGGCAACACCATCCGCCACATCCTCCTGCCTACTGTAGCCTGGGGTCCTGTGGTGGAGTCCTGGCAAGTCTGTTCTCCATCCACAAGGCCCAGCACTGAGAACTGGGGGACCTGTTATGTTTCCTCTATCTCCGGATGCCAAGAACTCAGAGAAGCACTTGTTAGTGAATTGTGTCAGGCAGGAGCCCAGATCAGACCCTGATAGATCCAGTTATCAGTCCTCCTCCATTCTTAGCTACTTCTCGGGGAAGGGAGTGTCAAAAACAAACAAACAAACAAACTTGTCTTATCAAGGACACCTTCTGACACCAGGGCACCATTTTGAGGAAGGATTGGTTGATTTAAGTTTTTAATGTCATAGTTCCATTTTCCTTCCATGCCTCTCTCTTCTCATCACCCTTCTGAAGCTAGTGTCTCCGCTCCTGCACGCAGCCCTTTGATAGGAACAACTTCTGCATCTTTTCTGAGATGCTGAGTGCTGGGAAAGGGAATCCTAGTAGGGAGTTC